AAAAGTACCTCATCGAAATAACAGTTTTAGAACCTAGAACTATTGGAGTCGATCTAGCGATGTCCGTCCATCCATCTGAATGTTTGACTAGCTGGTGCGCTCGCTAACTTCCGAAGGTATAAACGATTTAATCCAAACTTGGTATATCGTAATATTTTTATCAAACTTCAATGGTGTTCCGAGATGGGCAATATGGTTAACGTTTTGGTACCTCCCCCACAATTGGTCGACATTTTCAGAAAAATATTTTACTGCACAAAAAGTGAAAGAATACCCCGTTTTGACTCCGACTTTACAAATCCTAATATTTACATCAGCGCCAGGTCAGTTGCGAAATTGAACAATATCGGTCTACTCGATCAAGTACCTCCCCCACAAAGGGTCATAATTTTGAATACTCATGAAGCTGATAAAATGCAAAATGAACAACACAATATCTGTTATAAAGATGATAGATGTCGAACCATTTCTTCTGGTACCTCCCCACAAAAGGTTGAAGTTCTGAATAACCAAAACAATCATAAAATACGAAGTAAGCATCTGGTTCTCTTTAAATAACACACATCACAATATTTTTATTAACCCAAGGTCTGTTGTGAACATGGGATATATCGGTCCACTAGTACTGACACCTCCTTCACAAAGGTTGAAAATTTTGAATATCCATGGAACTCATAAAACGCAAAATTAGCATCCGATTCCATTCAGACTTGGTACATCCCTACATTTCCATTAACACAAGATCTCTTAGTAAGATGACAGAGAACGGACCATTTTTTCTCGTACCTCCCTCACATAGGGTTCAAAATTTTGAAAAACCAAACGCTCAAAGAATGCGAAGTAAGCATACAAATCTCTTGAAATATCACACACCCAAATATTTTTTCAGGATTCCAGCTCAATCCCTTCACCCAATACAAAATTTAGTACAATTGGTACTTTTATCATAATTAGAGTACACATTTCCAAAACCACCTCTATATCTAAATTTCAGATACCAATAGATACCTCAATATCAAATTTGAGGTTTCCAACCTTATCCCTTTGGCCAAACTAAATTTAGTACCATTTAGTACTTTTCGTACAAATATAGGACGCATTTCCAAACAACTGCAAAATCTCAAAAAAAAAAAATATAACATTAGTTATCCAAATATCAGACTTTAATTAATTGATCTCCATCCTTTCACCCAATATCACATTTAGTACTGCTGCACAATTAAATTCCATTGATTCCAAATTTCAGATTTCAAGCACTCAATCTTCACCCAATACCAAATTGTACCAAATATAATACTATTTTGTACTTTTCGTGCACTTGTAGCACACATTTCTAAAACCACCTCTTTACCACACTTAATTATCATAAACAACCAAAAGGGACCCCAATACAATATTATTAAAAATCCGGCTCATCCTTCTACCCTAAATCATAATGTTCCAAATTTAGTTCCGACACTTAGTGCACATTTTCTAAACCACCTTCGTTTTCCTTTATCCGTTCCCATAATCCCAAATGGTTAGAAGTTTAGTACCATTTTCAACTCTTCGTACCCACCATGGTTATATTCCACCTTTAATATATTTGGCCAATTAAATGTATCGATATTTGTCGGTAACTCACGAAAATAGTTACATAATCTCCCTCTAAAACTCATCGAAATACAGGTTGAGATAAAAAAACTGCAACAAAGTCAAACGCCATAATTTTTATAATTTTTTTTTTTAATTTTATTGAATGAAAACAAAAAATGTCGGAAATAATATCAAATTTTAGAATAAGTTTAGATTTTTTATCGAATTGGTCAACTTTGGCTCGAATTATGGCCTTCAAACGGCCAATGAAATCGTCACAAGATGCCCGAATGTTGCTCTGCGGTATTTTGGCCCATCACCGGTGAAGCGCTTGCTTGAGGTGATCGAAACTTTGGTATTTATTAGTGCCAACCTTGCTTTCCAAAATACTTTAGAAACAATAGTCCAACGGATTGGTAACAGGAGATTTTGGTGGTCATTGTGCGCTGGAAATGAAGCGAGGAACTTCATTTTGTAACCATTCTTGGGTGGCACGTGTTGAGTGGGATGGTGCTGGGTCCTGTTGGAATGTCCAAGGTCTGCGGCCAAAATGTTGGCGTGTCTAAGACTTTAATACACCCTTCAGAATATTTTCGCGATAATATTCGGCATTTATTCTGATGCCACGGTCGATTGATACGAGTGTAGATCGATCATTGGCTGTTATGGCGGCCCACACCATCACCATGGCCGGCGCTTGAGTTCTGGTGGCCAACCAAAGGTGCACATTTTCAGCTGACCTCATTGCCAAGTAAACACGATCATTTTGTTTGTTTAAAAACTGCTGGACAACGACAAGGAATGTTTTCTCATCGGAGAAAACCAAATTCAGCAGCTCACTACTTTTGGCTACGCAAAGCAACTCTTTAGCTCTTTTGAGTCTATTTTCTTTCTGTTACGGTGTAAGTTCTTGCACTTTTTGGAATTTGAATGGCTTTTTCAATATTTGCCGAATGGAATATTGCGATATGTTTAGCTCACGAGCCATTTTCGGTCACTGCGACACAGGTTTCTATCAAGTCGCTTCTTTACTTTTCGAACCATTTCTGCTGATGTTTTTTTTTTCGTCCACTTCTTTGACACTTTTAAATGCTGGAGTGCTCTGACGATAGCCACTTGTGGTTTTCCAGCCAAATAAAAAGAAATCACACTATCACGAATAACTTTTTTCTGGAAAATTCTCACCAAAATGCTTTTGTAAGCTTGTAAGCAATATAATGAGCTGTCACTGGAATAATTTTAACAGCTGTCGAACGAGTGGCTTAGAAGTGACAGCAGTTCGAAGTATTTTGCTGTATTTTGCATTTAATATCCAAATTTGTCATTACCTTCTGTACATATGTGCGTATGCTTCTTATTTAGTAAATCTAACAATAAATCATACGCCACATATGTACTTTAAGAATATCTGTTAATATTATTTCATTACTCAAATTATGGGAAAGAATTAATTTTGTATACCTTTTCTTCATTTTTTATACCCTACACCACATAGTGGTAAGGGTATTATGTCTTTGTGCATTTGTTTGTAACATGGAGAAGGAAAAGAGATAGACCCATAGTTAATTTTGAGAACCTTCATAAAATCACTATCTGAGTCGATTTATGCATGTCCGTCCGTCTGTCCGTCCGTCCGTCCGTCCGTCTGTCCATGTATTCTTGTGAACAAAATGCAGGTCGCATTTATTATCCGATTGAGATGAAATTTTCCAAACAATATTTGTTTGGTCCAAGGACGAACCCTATTGAAATTGGTGAGAATCGGATCAAATTTAGATATAGCTCCCATATAAATCTTCATCCGATTTCGGGTTAAATGTGCACCAAATATCCACTATCAGTCCAAATTACCTGAATTTAGGCACACCCAACCGAGTTCGGCCTAGAAGCAAGTATATCAAATTTGGAGAAAATCGGTTCAGATATAGCTATAGCTCCCATATATATCTTTCATCCGATTTGATCTTTAAGTTCCTCACATTCCTACTATGCACTCCACAACCGTGATATTTGGTACCAGGTATTAGATGGAGCACAGAAATAGCTGTTTTAAATTTTATTGAAATCGGTTCAGATTTGGATATAGCTCCCATATATATCTTCATCCGATTTCGGGTTAATTGACCACCAAATGGCCAATATCAGCCCAAATGGCCCGAATTTTGGCACATGTGACCGAGATTAGCCTTAAAGCAAATACAACAAATTTGGAGAAAATCGGTTCAGAAACAGCTATAGCTCCCATATATATCTTCATCCGATTTCGGGTTAAATGTGCACCAAATGTCCACTATCAGTCCAAATTACCTGAATTTTGGCACACCCAACCGAGTTCGGCCTAGAAGCAAGTATATTAAATTTGGAGAAAATCGGTTCAGATATAGCTATAGCTCCCATATATATCTTTCATCCGATTTGGTGTTTAAGCCTCTCACATTCGTAATATGCACTCTACAAGAATGATATTTGGTACCAGATATAAGATGCAGCCCAGAAATAGATGTTTGTAATTTTATCGAAATCGGTTCAGATTTGGATATAGCTCCCATATATATCTTCATCCGATTTCGGGTTAATTGTGCACCAAATGGCCGATATAAGTCCATATGGACTGAATTTTAGTACATCGGACCAAATTCAGCCTAGAAGCAGTTTTATCAAATTTAGTGAAAATCGGTTCAGATATAAATATAGCAACCATATATATGTTTCATCCGATTTAGAATTTTAGTCCCATACATTCGTAATATTCACTCCACAACCGTGATATTTGGTACCAGGTATTAGATGGAGCACAGGAATAGCTGTTTTAAATTTTATCGAAATCGGTTCAGATTTGGATATAGCTCTCATGTATATCTTCATCCGATTTCGGGTTAAATGTGCACAAAATGGTCAATATCAGCCCAAATCACCAGTCTAGAAGAAGAAGAAGAATACGTAAAATTTGGAGAAACCCGGTTCAGAGATAGCTATAGTTCGTAAAATGCACGATAGAATTAGATAGATTTTGATTTTGTACCAAATATCTCATAGAGCTCTGAAATGCCCTGTATAAACCTTTTTACGAGAGCTCTACTAAATATGCATAGTGGTGTGGGGTATCATATAGTCGGCCCCGCCCGACTTTTGAGCTTTCCTTACTGGTTTTTTTTTGTTAGGATAATCATATCGTGCTAAATACCTTTATATAATAAATTATTATCATATACCCACATTCGCTTCTAGCTACCTACATCCGAATTCTAACTAAATTACACAAACGGAAATTACAATTCTACAAAACTTTTTTTTAATGAGATTTTAAAATTCTTTTATTGAATGTACGAACAGAACAATATATACGTAACATGCATGTCAGAACAACTATATATAATTAACTTTTCCCCCCCTTTGCTTTTCACCCATCCTTTCTTTCATTGCAGATGACATAACCCAACTGAGCGCAACACCGGAGCAAACCACAAGCTCTATTAATCCATTAAATAGTAAACGTGCAATTGTGGCCAAGACCACAGATGGCCGACGACAACAACTTTATTGCATGCGTTCTGCCTCTTTCAAGTCATTCAATCGCCAGAGCAGAACTAGCGCTGACAGCGAGGAGACAACATCGTCGTCGTGTCACTCGCTCAATGCATTATCCACAAAGTTTCCAAGACAACTTAAACCGACACATCAGTCGTCGGTGGCAATGGCAACATCTGCAATTCAGCGACAATATCACCAGCAACAACAACAACAACACCAATCACCATATATGTCAACAAATGATGGAGGTGGTGGCAACGGTGGTGGTGTGCCAGAGAAGCGTAAACTGAATAGCTCACCAAGTTTACGCATAACTGAATCGGCATTGAGAAGGTAAGTTTGGTGTCATTGGAGAAAGGTGTGCCTGTGAGTGTGTGGGTGTATATGGGTCTTTGTGTGTGTGTGGTTGGGAAATTTAATATGTTAAAGGTTGAATAAATTTAAAGGAAACAAAAGAATTGAAATTTAACAATAACGCCATAGGCTGGGTGACCCATATTCAGCAAAAAATACTCAATATAAATTGGGTAACCAAATTATTGCACTGTGAGACAAAATTCAATTTTTTTAAAATAATTGCAGAAACAAAAAAATAAATAAAAAAGGTAGAGTTAAAAATGAAGGACAGGGCTTTCGCCGTTTTGAAAGTTAATATCGCAAAATTTTTAACTTTTGTGAGTAAGGTACTATAAGAAGAAAATCCATCTCTGACATCGAACAAATTTTGTGCAAAAAATGTAGTGAGAGATAACCGAACTTTTCGCCTTCTTATATTATTTATTCATCGGAGGTATTCAAAATTTGCAAGCCCACATTTCAGTTATTTTGAAGATTTTGAACGCATTGGGTAAACCACCACGCATATTCCACCTTTATCCATTCGCCCAAACCCAAACAGTACCAGATTTATTTCTATGTAGTAAAATTCTTGTACACATTAGTACAGACTTAGTACACATTTTCAAAATCATCTCACGTACAAAATTTTCACTCTGACATAATTCCAAATAGTTCTAAGTTTAGTGCATTTGAGTACTTTCGGTACACATTTCGTCCGAAAAAAAAAAATAAAAACAAAACAAGTAATCAAAGACTATAGTGGTGCGGGGCCGACCATGTGATACTCTACAACACTACAATATGTTCTCCTTACATCCAAATCTATTTTGGAAGATTTCGTTTTTGAAAAAATATCAAAGAGCCCTGTCCAGATGTTACCCTTGGGTTTTTGACTCGGAGAATTTGGCCAATATTTACGCACTCCGTCGTGTTGTATTCAAAACAATTTCACACGAAAGTTGTGGTCTATTCTATAGTTAATATAATCCAATAGTCATATAAGATGCTAGACTTCTTCCCTGACCCTAACCCTTTTCTGATGCGAAATTCCGTGTCGATTAGTTTTTAATTGTGGCCTATAGAGCGACTACAAAATTAAAAAAAATTAAATTTTTTCGTCCATTTCAACCTTTAAATGTACATCTTAAGAACAATAGGCCTTAATTCTGACCCTAACGCTACCACATGCAATTTAGTGGGGATCGAACGATAATTGCGACATGCATATAATACCCTCAAAGCGTAGTGTTGAGGAGTGTAAACATTTAGAAAATTTTCAATTCAAAATTGTAAGTCAAATTGAAAAAATCGCATGCGATAAAAAATAAGAAAAATATTGAAAAAAAATGAAACAAAATATATTCACTCATTTATTGGTATCTTTTTCTGCGATTTTCTTAGATTTTATCCTTTTTTGGCCAAAGACCATCCCGAATTTAGGAGAATTGCAAAAATCGGCCCAGCTTGGCTCGCAGCATCACTTTAATGGTCAGAAGTGATCTTTTAATGTGGTTTGGCTGGGATTAAAAATATTCGCGGTTTAGTGGAAATTTTCTTATTTTCTTACATAAAAGTTAGGATCTAATTTACCCGCTAAATATTTTCCGATTACTGCCCAAATTGTTAGGTTTATGCCCAGTCTTAAACTCTAACTCCATGTAAATTTCATTGGTTCATGATTGTGACCTATAGAGCAACTTAAAAATCTGGAAAATTTTATGTTTTTGGTCCATGTTAACCCTTAAATATTTTGCAATAATCTCCAAAAACAATAGGGTTCTATTCTGACCCTATACCCACCTCCATTTTCAATTTCGTGATGATCGGGCTATAATTGTGACCTGTGGCTTCTTTGCCAATTAACATGGACAGACGGACGGACGGACTAGATCCACTCAGCTCGGCGAGATAGGAAGATCCATATATACTTTCCTATGTGGAAAAGCAATATTTCGAGGTGTTATATAATTTTTGGCACATTCAAACTTATAATACCCCCAACACATGGTATTGTAGGGTGTAAATATCAGACGGTTTTGCCGAAACATTTGTTCGATTATTTCAATATATTTCGACTTCTGTTATAATCATTCAAATGGTAAACCCTCATGGAGTAGGTTCCGAAATATTCAAAATGTTGACCCTTTGTGTGTGTGGTACTAGAGGGATGGGACCAATATTTCCCATCTCCATAGTAAATCTTGTGTTATTGGAAATATTGAGATGTGTGAAATATGAAGATAACCCGATGCTTATTTCGGATTTTATGATTATTTTGTTATTGGCCCTTTGTCGGGGAGGTAGAAGGAATAGAGCGGCATTCACACCAGACCTTAGGTTAATAAAAATATTGCGATATGTTTAATTTGAAAACAATTGGACTCTTACATCATATTTTAGATGATTTATAAATAGAACTTAATGGAGTGGACCGTTTGTCCATTTCCGCACCTGAAGCACTGAAAGAAATATTAGGATTTGCAAAGGATTAAAATCGGGTTATCCTTTCTCTTTTTGTGCATTATTTTTTTTTTTGAAAATTTTGACTTTTTTTGGATTAGATACCAAAATGAGTGGACCAATATTGCCCATGTCCGAACTTGACCTAAGTTCGACAATAATACTACGATATATCAAGTTTTGACCAAATTGGATACTCTCTTCGAGTGTTGTCGTGAGCACCAGCCAGACGGATGGGCATCCCTAGAACGATTTCAAATGTCCCGAAATGGTGTTGGTGCAGAGAGATCTAGCGTCTTTAATCGCTAAAACCGATCGATGAGGCATGTTGTGGCCGTATCAAAAGATATATACCCCTCTGGCTGAGGATATAAAAAAGCCTTCAGTTTGTCTATTCAACACAACGTCAATGACTCTCATTTCATATTTCAGATTTAATGATGTATAATACGTTTCGTACTGTTTTGGTACGTTTTCCCAAATCCTCCTTCAAACCGTAAAAACGACGATCTTAATGGCAAATTTTAGCCTTCAAACTCAATGCTTTCTCTAAATAGCAAAATAAGGCCCATTTAGTACGCATGGCCACCACTACCCCCAAATATTAATCCTATATAATCCTAATTTTAAGCAATACCGGTACCTTTTAGTACCTTTCGTACATCTGCAGAACGAATATCGAACCTCATATCTTTATCTACTCTACCCGCCAGCAGTAACCCCAATACCAAAATTTCAAATTACCAGCTTCTACCGTTCACCCAAAGCGGAATTGTACCAAATTAAGTATCATTTTGTACCGCTCATGAACTAAGTACCCGCATCCAAATCAACCTCCTTACGTCAACACCATTTCCTTGAATTTGTTCTCATACCATATTTCAAGATTTTACCACTATCCGTTCACATAATTCCAAATGGTACCAAATTTAGTACATTTCGCTACTTTCGACCAAATTTAGTACCATTGTTTACACATAAGTACGAATCTCCTACACACTCCAATCCTACAATGCAGTAGAGATCTTATTTCCAAATTTCTGGATACCAACTCTATCTGTTCTTCCCAAAACTTAAATTGTATCAAATTTAGTACCATTTAGTACTTTTCGTAAGCAAACTCTCTGCCAGTAATGTTAGTTTTAAATTTCAGGACTCCCGCTTTATCCGTTCCAAAAAATACGAATTGTACCAAATTTAGTACCATTTAGTACTTTTCGCATACATGAGTACACATTCCCGAAACTACCTCCTTACATCAAACCAACTGCTCAAACTTAATTCCCATTCTTTATTTCAAATTTTTAGTTCTAACCGTTCACGAAATGGTACCAAATATAATACATTTTAGTACTTTTCGTACACTTACAGTTCGAATTTCCAAAACACCTTTAGTACATTCACCATCAGGGACCAACATTTCAATTTAATAGTACTTGCACTACTGTTTCGTCAAATACAAAGGATACCACTTTAATACTTTTCTTATCGTTCTAAAACGAATTTGCAAAAACCCAGCCCTCTCTGACCCGTGCGGGTTACAAGATTCTACCTAGGCTTTTAGTACTTTTCCTACCGTTTGGTACGAATTTTCATAAACCCAGCTTTACGTGACCCCTTCTCACCAAGGTGATGCTCACCCAAAATTTCGTCTGGGCTTTAATGTCAACGTCAGTCAAATATTTCCGAATCTGTCATAATTTTTCCTAATTATTAGCAATTCACATAAAATCTATCATCTTTCTTTGTCATTTCAGATCCAACATTGAGAAAACCTTGGAGAGCAAGAAACGCGTTGTGAAAATGCTTTTCGTCCTTGTGCTGGAATTTTTCATCTGTTGGACACCGTTGTATGTCATCAACACCCTGGCCATGTTCATTGGACCGGCGACCTATGAATATGTCGACTATACAACGATAAGTTTTCTACAATTGCTCGCCTACTCATCGAGTTGCTGTAATCCCATTACGTATTGTTTCATGAATGCCAGTTTCCGGCGAGCATTTGTCGACACGTTTCGTGGCATACATTTCAATGGCGGAACATTTTGGCACAAGAACTCCAAGTCAGCAACGGCGGCAACGAATCTCTCAATGGCTGGCAATTCGATTGCAATGGGCAACAGTTGTACCGTGGTGACGGCCAATACCGTTTTGGACAGTCCACGACTTTGAAACGCATCAAAGTTTCGATTTGCGGGAAAAATGACGACAAGAGCTTTAATCGGTCGAAGGTGTGAAAATGAGATGGCAACAACTGGATGTTAGGGTAGTGGTGAAATTGGAGATAAATACGAAGTGAGGTGGGGTGGGATGTATGATGGCAAGAACACGTTCATGTTTAAATCAAATCCAACGATTATATATCTTATCAATTGTATTATATTGTACAACAACATATGGTTTCAAAATTATTTTTAAAATGTATTTATTTGAATATAAGATTGACGCACAATCACATATACAATGTTAAATATACCCAACACCACTACACAATATTTTTAAATATTTTAGAATTTAAAGAAAATTTGTTATAACAACTTTTCACAGAATCAAATGTTTGCTACTGGACAGCAATTTATACAAAATTAGTGAAAATTCCTTCTTATATAGGACCCAGAGAAAATCTACGAAGACTGTATTTTGGGTCATAAAAATACAATTGTTGTGGAAACAAAATTTATTACAAAACTGCCTGTAAAAACTGTAAAAAATTAAATGCATGTTTTTCTGATTGATTGATTGATTGCTCATAGAGAGTTAATACATAAAGTTTTGAAGTTATTTTCTGTGTCCTGAGTGAAATCTCAATGTTTTCAATAATTACGATTACGAAAAATCCAGCAGATTATGAAAGTAGAGCTAAAAAAGGAGACACGTATATCGGCGTTTTGAAAGTATATTTCGCAAAGTAAGTCTCCGGATACAAATCCGAGGGGGGCAAGTCTCCCTCTTACATATAGTTGAAAATTTTTGGATAAAGATTACTCGAAATACGTGCATTTTAGGTTTATAGTGTCTTCGTCATTATTGCTGATAAAAATATGAGGAATATTTTGGGGGAAAATCGTAACCACCAAGCGATTCAACAGAGAGGTCTTTTTGGCCCTTTTTATGTGATTTGCACTATTTTGAAACTAAACTAATTCTTCAATTCCGGAGCTTCAATAAAATTGATACTCTCTTCGATTTAAATAAGGTATAGGGTGAGATGAAAAAAAACTGCAACAAAGTCAAACGCCATAATTTTTAAATTTTTTTAATGTTATTGAAAAGAAAGCAAAAAATGGCGGAAATAGGATACAATATTAGAATAAGTTTAGATTTGTTCGAATTGGTCACCTTTGGCACGAATTATGGCCTTCAAACGGCTAATGAAACCGTCATACGCTGCCCGAATGTTGCTCTCGGCGATGCGCTTGCTTGAGGTGATCGACACTTTTGTATTTTTTTAGTGCCAATCTTGCCCTCCAAAATAGTTCAACGGATTGGTATCCGGAGATGTTGGGGGCCATTGTGCACTGGAAATAAAGCGAGGCACCTCATTTTGTAAACATTCTTGGGTGGCGCGTTCTGACTGAGTCCTGTTGGAATGCCCAAGGCCTGCCTGACCTTAATACACCCTCCAGAATATTTTCGCGATATTATTCGGCATTTATTCTGATGCCACGGTCGATTAATACATGCGGAAAGCGACCATCGGCTGTTATGATGGCCCACACCATCACCATGGCCGGCGCTTGAATTCTGGTGGCCAACCGAAGGTGCACATTTTCACTTGACCTCTTTGGCAAGTAAACACGATCATTTTGTTGGTTTACAAATTTCTGGACAGCGATTATTTTCTCATCGGAGAAAACCAAATTCGACAGTTCACCACTTTCGGCCAAGCGAAGGAACTCTTAGCTCTTTAGAGTCTATTTTCTTTCTGTTGAGGTGTAAGTTCTTGCATTTTTTTGGAATTTCAATGGCTTTACCCCGAGCTCAGTTTTCAATATTTGCCGATTGGAATATTTCGGGCTCACGAGCCATTTTTCGGCCACTGCGACGTGGGTTTTTTTCTGTTAATTTTCACCAAAATGCTTCAGTATTGAGTATTGAGTTCATAACGGTTTCTACACCATGTGGATAGTATTGACTATAAAGGTCCACGTTTTACTATAGCATACTTGTACATGACTTAATTTCCTAATTGTAGAGGGTACATGTTTTTTTACTTCTTTGATATTGTTACGGACTTTCCTTTCAAGGATATGTATTTTTTTAGTTTTTCAAAGATCTCAGTACGAGTTCAAATGTGGATTTTATATATAAATTGTGTATATTATTTAGATATTTTTATGGACTTCCCAGCTACATATTCATCGTGATTTTTATACCCTCCACCATACTATGGAGGGTACATTAACTTTGACATTCCGTTTGTAACTCATCGAAATATTCATGTCAGACCCAACAATCAGCGTAAATTTCTAATTCGATTTAGCCATGTCTTTCGAACGAATTGAGATAGAAGGCTAAAATTTTGCACACGTGTTTATTTTTCCAGTAGCCCTCTTAGGCTCCTAGCTCTAGGTACCTCCCTATATTCGGTATTTTGATAATTTTAGCTAATTTTGAATATGGTATTGGCTTATGACAAACAATGCCTATGTAGGTCCACGTCGTATAGACCCCAATATAACGGCTATATTCGGTATTTTTAAAATTTAAACAGAATTTTTTAAGGAATTTATTTTTTATATATTTTTATATTTATACCCTACAACACTATGTGTTGAAGGTATTATAAGTTTGATTGGCCCAAAAATTATGTAACACCTCGAAATATTGGTTTCCCATATAGGAAAGTATATATGGATCTTCCTAGCTCGCCGAGCTGAGTCGATCTAGCTATGTATGTCCGTCCGTCCGTCTGTCCGTCTGTCCGTCTGTCCATGTTAATTTGTAATCACTCTACAGGTCGCAATTATGGTCCGATCTTCACGAAATTTAGAATGGAGGTGAGTCTGGGGTCAGAATAGAACCCTATTTCTTTTGGAGATGATCGCCAAATGTTTAGGGGTTGAAATGGACCAAATACTGAAAAAATGTCGGATTTTGCAGTAGCTATACAGGTCGCAATTATGGACCAATCGACGCGGAATTTTGCATGTAGCTGGAGTTTAGGGAGGGGAAGAAGCCTACCAATTTGGGTGGTCATCGGATAATATTTAGCGGGTAAAATAGACCATATCTTTTGTGTTGAAAAAATTCAAAATTTTTCATTAAACCGCGAATATTTTAAATCCCGGCGAAATCACAAAGCCATCACAAGGTTACTTCCGACCTTTACATTGATGTTAACATCCAACAAAACGGATATATTGCAAAATATGTGCGATATATATGTTTATCAAAGGAGATATGCTTGAAAAATCTCTTATATGTCGAGAACGGCTGAACTGATTTCGACAGTTCTCATTAATTCAGAATGGCCTCTTGGCAGGAGAGAAAAAACGTCTAAAAAAATCTCATAAAAATATCTCGCTAAAGATGAAAATATTGATTTTGTAAAATTTTCTCATATTTTTTAATTTTTGTCATATTTTTGGCATATTTTCATTTTGAATTAAACATTTGGTAATATTTCTACAGCTAACAAAACTAAGTAGTTGGGATATCAGGATATCATATACAGATCGCATTTATGGCCCGATCCTTACGAAATTTTGCATGGGGATAAGATGAGGGTCAGAATAGAAGCCTACTCTTTTTGGAGATGATCGCTATATATTTAGGGGTTGAAATGGACCAAAAAAAACTGCAAAATTGTCGGCAGGTCGTAATTATCGCCCGATCCTCACGCACATTTGAAGGGGGGTTATCGGACATTGCAAAAGCCAAGCAGTTTTGGATGGCCATCCAAAAATATTCAATGTGTGAAGGAGTTTGCCAACTTTTATAGACAAAATACGAAAATGTCCATTTTAGTGACTTTTTGGAGAATTCACAAATACAGGAAAGACGCACTTCTGACTATTTCGCTAACGCTGGTTTCGTTGAAGAATATAGTCAAATGTCTGTATCTCATATAGCTGCGTTTCAGTCAAAAACCAATAATAAATGTAAATCTTTTGCCACAGATCTAGGAAGACCATTTAAGTGCAACATCTACCAATAAATTGGAAATGAGCAAATTAGTTTAAGTTGCTATTATTCGAAAATTAGAGAACGGAACCTGATGGTTTTCTTTTATTATTTGTCACAATATCTTGTGGAATTCTTTCGAGTATCTCGCCTATATAAACTGTATGGCTTATTATAGTGTTGTAGGGTATTCAACGGTCGGCCCCGCTCGACTGTAGCCTTTGCTTACTTGTTTTTATATATGGATGGTATTCAAAGTTTGGCCCGACCGAACTTATTACTTTTTAAGTTGTTTTCAATTTGTTTAAATTTAACCCATTATATACTTCTTGTACCCTAAACTTTGTAGTTATGAGCTCCCAATATTTCAAGCCCTTTGTTCAAAAGATAATTTTGTGAAGCTCACATCTGGCAAACCTTTTGAAATTGTGTCTCTCTGAAACAAAAAATTAATAGAAATTATTCTTAAGTTCTTTCAGAACCCTAAATTTTAAAAACTTTTTTATTAAAGCTAAGTTTTTTTGCTCACATATTCCATATTCGTTGCTAGATTTGATATCTAGACTTAAACTCAATAATCAAAATATGAAAGCTGTTGGTGTATAATCACTTAAAACAGGAAAATAAAAATTAATACCTTTTTGTTTCCAGTCATTCGCGGGTATTTTGTAGATTGGCGGATTTTTCTCAAAAATGTTGTCATCATAAATTTATTTTTTGCTCCGAAATCTAATTCATGTTGTAGTGGTATAGAGTATATGATAGTCGGTCCCACCGACTATAGTTATTACATAATCTTTTAGTAGACTTTTGGTTGCATTTGTTAAGATTATAATTAAAGCGTTTTTACTTTCAGTAAGTAGTTAGGATAGAGAGATAGCAAAAAATGCGATAGAAAGAAGTTAAACTTCAGCATTGGTTTGTGAAACAAATTCAAAAAGGAAATGAAAACGCGGAAATGTTGTGATTTCATAGAGAGATAATTACTTCATAGGTTATTTGAAAATAAATAGAACAAAAAAATATTAAAATTAAAATATAAACACCAGCAGAATTGCATAATCATATACACATACAAACATACTGACATATATTACTATGTATACAATACATACATACAAACATTTATTATTGTATATTATAGATGCACAGGAAAATTAATTGGTCTTAAATGCCTTCCTTTCTTTCGCTCCTGCTGTAGACTATTGTTATGTGTATATATGTGTGTATGTTAAATAAAAATTACAAAATATAAAGTTCAACAATGAAAAATGAAAAACATGTAAAGTTCCCCTAAACTCCAATACAGTTAAGAAAATAATTAATACAATAACTATAAATTATGATAATAACAAAAAATAAATAAATAAAACTATTAACAGTTAATAACGAAGAAGGATTTCAAACCAATGACTTTTCATTTTTAAATTTATATTGCATTTTACAAGAGACATAATTATTATTAATTTTGTTATATGTAAATAAATAAAAAAACTGGTAAATAAAGATAACATATGAAAAATAATTGTTCAATAAATTAATATAAAAAATAATGTGAATCAAATTCAAACATCTTGCAAATTACACTCGACATCAAAAATAACTCAAAGTTTCGAAATAAAAAATATATTTGTTGTGGTTGATGAAAAAATTAAAGAACTTCTTGGGACATCTTGCAAGAGGAGTTCAAAATCAACAATGTCCTACACATCTAAACTAAATAAAATCCTTTTGAAGGTTACAGGATGTCATTCAAAGAAATATTGGGTTACCACAGCCTAAAAATGCATATTCGAAAAGTAAATATAAAATGTATATACTTTTTTCTGCCCGGTAATACATACCTTAATTTTCATTTCATCACAGACTTTCCCTTATTTCCTCACATGACTCTCTTCAAAACTTACCAACCTATTGATTATTATATATTATATATTACAAAAATTAAAAATTATTTTCTACAAAACCATGAAATGGCGATAAATTGTTCACTTGGTATATAAAAACACACACACATTTATATAACTCATAAGAAACGTATAATATAAGAAAATCTTTCAATTTAGCGATTCTTACTTTTCTTGTCTAAAAAAATTAAAAAAAACTATGCATTCTAAAAAATTTTTCTTTTATGAATTTTAATTATAAGGAGAACAAATAAAAATGACAACATATTTGGCTTTAAATGAAAGAAAAATCGAGTTTTTTTAATAATTTCGGGATGAGGAGGGTAAGTATTCATATTTATATAAATAAGTTGATTTGTGTTAGTGATTGATGTTCTCTGGAATGCGTGGAGCGATTTTCAGGAAAGGTGACGTTAATACCATGGATTTTATATATAAACGGTAAATCAGTATTGGTTAATGGGTTACAGTTATTTTTGTGAACACTGCTTTCATTTTGAAACATGTGTTTTGAAATTAACCTACTGACTGATTGTTGAACGTCCAGACGAAACGGGTGAAGCTAGAATCTTCCATGTGGGGTGAAATAGGGCTGGCTTTCTGAAGATGCTAACTATAAGGGCACCAAAAGTTACTAATTTATGGGCTTTACACATATATTATGGTATTGTAAGCTCTGTCCGTCTGTGGAAATCACTGTAGCTTCCGAATGATATGAAGTAGGTAATTTTTTTCTCAAATGTGTTTTAGGTCTGAATAACTTTCGGTATTGAAAATGGGCTATATAGATCCACGCTTTGGTAAAGCCCCCATATAACTGCACTGACAGAGTTAAAGTTTTTTTTCGGAGTTTTAGTCACAATTTTTACCCGAACTTGCTGTAAATTGGCAGAATGTGTTTCCATTATGTATGACTGAACCTCCAGATATTCGGCATTTTGATGATTTGTGTTTGTGAACCTCACTATATTTGGTATATTGATGATTTTATCGACATTTTTAATTTTTTTTTTTGATTGTTTGACGCCCAGGCGAAACGGCTGAAGCTAGAATCTTCCATGTAGGGTGAAAAAGGGCTGGCTTTCTAAAAATGCAAACTGTAAGGGCACCAATAGTTACTGAAACTTGAATGCGTTATATTGAGCAATGGAATACGTCTGAAATTCGTAGATCCTAATATTTAGGGTTTAGGATGTATCAACGTTTTTAT